CTGGTGCCTCTGCTGTTCCCAAGAATGCAGCAGCAACTGCAGCAGCAGCAGCAACAACAAACACTGGAGGAGCTTGCAGCGACGCTGTTAGACGCGTGCCTCACAGAGTACCTCAGCTGCTGCTGTGGCGTATCCCCACAACAGGACACAACCTGCCTTTTGACTCAGCATAACCAACGGCAGCAGCAGCAAGATGACTTCCTTCTTGACCCTACGGTTGCAGGGCTATGCTTGTTGCAGCTAGCTCAGGAACTGGGGCATTTCTGTCCACGTGGTTTACTGCTGTTTGTCCCTCACGTTGCAGTATTGCTCCGTGACCACACGGCATTATTGCAACAAGGCAGCAGTAGCAGCAACAGCTGCAGATCCTTGCTGGGGGAAATCGAGCTGCTAGCAGCTGCGGCCAACCACATCCGAGCAGCCCCTTACCACGTGCAGCAAGAATTACTTCTGTGCGTTCCAGCCGTGCTACTTCTCCTGGAAACAGACCCACTATTGTTGCAAGCAGGAACAATGCTACTGTGCCGAGTGTCGCAGCAATTGCAACAGGAAGGGGTTCGAGATAGTCTTCTTGACCTACTTGCTGTCAGCCTGGCCCTCATATATTCTATCAAGGATCGCATTTACCAGCTGAAACGAAAAGAACCGCAACGCGGAGCGCATCTCCCCCCTTCAGAAGAAGAGCAGCAGGAAAAAGAGGCCGTCGTACCAATGCTACAAGCGCTGCAATTCGCATCTTGGGCTGTGGCTTGTCTTTCTGCCGGCCTGGGGATAGGAGCGTTTGAAAAGCAAGCGGCTGCTGGGTCTCACAGTGCTGCTGTTGCTGCAACAAGTGAAGCGAATAAGGTGTCAGGCTGTATCCCTTCATCCTCAGCAAATGGTAAGAAGGTCTATTCTCGATTCGGCCATCGCGTCTACCACCTACACAGTCCCCATTGATGCTCAAGGTGTTTATATACCGTAGGCCTCTTCCCAGTTGCTGATAAGATGCTGGCTGTGATTTTCGTTTCTTCCTTTGTTCTTCAGGAGGGGCAGCATGCGCTTCTTCGCTCTTGCGCGACGTTCCCGTTGCTTCGTTAATGCAGCGCGTTGCTGCTCACGCAGCAGACAGCAAATCTGCGGCAACAGCAGCAGAAGCGGCCTCACGAGACAGTGGATTTTCTTTGCAGCATTCAGTGTTTCATCTGCTATGCGATGCATTGCTGCTTCTACAGCAACACGGGGGCATGACCGCAGTGGCGTGGCGCTCGCTTTGCTGCTTCTTGCGCGCAGCCCCATCCTTCCTAAGCAGTCCACGTTTGGGCGCCCGCCTCAGTGCAGCAACAGCAGCAGCAGCAGCAAATAAATTAGATTGGCAATGTTCAGACCAGCGGCAGCACCAGCAACGGCAGCAGCAAGCTGAGGGGGTAGGGGACGCGCAAGCTCTTGACTTGCCTGCTGCTCTTCAAGCTCTGTACGGGCTGGTCAAAGAACTGCAGCAAGATGCCGCATCTCCAGGCTTGCCCACGGCAGCAGCAGCAGCAACAAAGGTAGAGGGCAAGAATCGACAGAGCGTAAGCATCTCGATGCGCCGGTCAGGCACACGCGGGAGATCGCAGGCGCAGCATCAGACGCAGAAGCAAGAGCAGCAGCAGCACATACCTGCTTGCTCTGCCCACCCTGCCTCTGCGGCGGGCTCGCCTACAGCAACCGCAGCAGCAACAGCGGCAGCAGAAGCAATAGCGGCAAACGCTCGTCAGGGGATTTGGAATGGCCGCGAACGCGCTTCGATAAATGCCAACGCACCATCAACAGGACCAGCAACAACAGCACAACCCAGTGTTTGTGACTATTTGCATGCCCTGGCGCCTTATGTGAGACCGCTGATGGATCTACTTGTCCCCAGGCAGCCGCAGCAGCAGCCACAACAGCAGGGGCAGTGGCCAAATTTGAGCTGCAGCACCGCCACTCTCATTCTCCTGCTCACTAGGGCACTGCAACAGTACGCTGCCACGGTGGTGCAGCAATACAAGCAGGAAAACAGCCAGCTGTCTTTAATGTGACTAGGCAGCTTGCTCCGTGGTCCAACTGCTTTTACGAGGCACAGCCACATGAAGCTCCTGCACAATGGGTTATTTGCGTCTGTTTTCGTCTGTGTCATCTTTGCGGCTGTCAGGCTTGGTCTGGTTTACTACAGCGAGTTGCTGCCTCAAGCTGCTGCGCTGCTTTTCTGCAGCAGCAGAACTGTTGCGCGTGCTGCCTCTTTGCTCCTACAGGAAGCTCTGGGAGGCGCTGGGGCTGCCTTTGCTGCAGGGCGGCTACAAGAATGCCTTGATATGTCGCTGCTGCTCTGCATACACCGCGGTGCAACAGATTCCACAGCAACTGAAAGTGTTTACAGGCTCAGTGGCCAAGGCAGCAGCAGCCCGAACCTCCTGCAGCTGCGCGAAGAGAGTGCAGCACCAGTTACTGCGCTGCTGCTTTCGCCATTCTGTGTGGTGGATCCCGCTGCCATTTCTGCCTTCGTCATTTTGTTTACGCGCAGTGCAAAGGGCAGTGCTAGGGTATGCTTGTGCTGCGAATAGCTTCCGAAATCACTGTGTTTGCGTTGTTCTATCTTGTCGCTCTACTGGCACAGAACTACTTAAAAACTAATTTTGGACCTACAGATACTTGCTTATGCTGTTCCCGGCTCGCAGATCTCCCCGTCGGATGTCCAGTTGAGCCTCGTGGCGCAACTACGGCGATTCAGTAGCGTCGAGGCTCTTGCCAGTCTTGCTTCGCGTCTCCCTTGCGCAGGAATACCTGCAGGAGCTACAGCACCAGCAGAGGCGGCAGGAGCCGCGGCAGGACCAAATGCCCGTCTCGCCGCTTGGGCAGGCAGCTTGCCGCCTTCTCTTGGTGTCGTTGCAGCAGATCCTGCGATCGAACCGTGGCTGCAGCAGACCCCCTCAGCACTACTGCCGCTGCTGCCTGCTGCATTTGCTGCACTACTGCACCTCAGACTTGTATCGGATGTCCTGTTGTCAGTCGTCCACAGACCCTCCGAAGCGGCAGACGCAGCTGCAGCTCTACGGGGTGTGGTGGTTGACTGCGGCGCCGCTGTCGAAGCCATGCTGCACACAGCACAGCAGCAGCAGCAGCAGCGGCAGCAGCAGCACCAGCAGCAAGTTGCTGCTCTAACTGCCGCTTTTTGTGGATGCTTCGCATCGCAGCTAAGATCAGCTTTGCTGCAGGGTTTCCACGTGAGCGACACGCCCGAAGCTGATAGTGATGCTGCTGCAGAAGCAGCATCTGTAGCTCCTGTTGACCAGGATGAGGGGAATTTTGAGAGCGAGGAATGCGCTATGGCAGGACCCAAACAAGGGCAGCAACAGCAGCAGCAGCAGCAGCAGAAACGCGGTCGAGGGCTACTGCGCCAGCCCGCACCCCGAAATAGCAGCAGCAGCAGAAGCAGCAGCAGAAATCCACATCCCCGTGGCGGCGGCATGCCTGACTGTGACTCCAGAGAATCACTGGCTGCGGCGCCTCAGCAGTCAATAGTAACAACAGCAAGAAAGAAAAGTCCTATCTCCCTCGGCCGTAGTAAGTGCAGCGGCGCGCCGCTGCCCGTGAACCCAGAGGACAAGCCAGCCTTGCGCTTGTTTGCTGCTGGTGCTGCACTGCAGCGGCGCGCAGTCTCTACTCTAGGTAGTCTTTGGGCCAGAATTACCACGCAGCAGGACCTCGCAGCAACTGCTGCAAGCGTAGGGAAAACAGCAGCAGAAAGTGAAGATACACCTGCCAGCCTCATTAGAGAAATGGTCGATGCAGCCGTTTGCTGCGACAATGAGTTAATAATATGCGCAGACAGCCGAGACCTTCCAATAGCGCACCTCCATCGAGGTGCACGGCGCAGGAAACGCTTGCAGCTACAACAGCGGCATCAGCAGCAGCAACAGCCTGAATCTCCCCCGACGTCGCGACGAAGAAAACGCAGGCGATTCGGGGTGCGAAAAGGGGAAGACCCCCGAGACTCAGATTGGGCGCGCGATGTTGAGACCTCCGAGCCAACGGCGGAGTCCGACGAAGACTTCAGTGATCATTGATGGGCCCTTTACATCCTGTTTTTTTTAAACCAAAGTCCGTCATTTTCTTCGTCTTCATTGGATTCTGGCGCGGTCATATGCCTTGCCCTTAACTTGCACTATTTCTGTATGTCGGGGCATGATCCCGGTTTGTAAAAGCAGCACATGTTGGTCTGGCATCGTTTGCTGGTGTCCGCATTCGTATATGACTTCTCAGAGAGAGTGGGAGGCATGAGCTGCCTCAATCACCCTCCCCTGGTTACGGGGAATTTTTTTTGTTTCGTTGGCGTCCCTTGTTTATCATTTGGTTTTGGTCCAGGGTGCCACTTCTGTATCACCTCAAGCCTTTGCCTCCGTGTGTGGGCAAGTACACGCACGAGCCTAGCAATTGACCAATTCCCTTAATAAGCAACAAGCATGCAAACTACAATATTTTAAATTGACTGCTGTGGAGCGGACAAGTACGAAGCGTCTCCCCACTTCAAATGAAAAGGCCGACAAGCAACACAATGCGGCCTCTTAGCCCTCCAAAATCAAACTAACAACCGAAACGAACAACCGTCCGCGAAGGAGTGTGCTTGCGCAGGAATTAGCTACAGCGCAGCTGATGAGAAAGCAGCGATGCAAGCAGCGACACAGCAGGAATGCGCAAGCAACAGCAGCTCACGACTTTGCTGAAAGCCCCTGCCGCGGCCGAGTTGTCCACTGCGTATTTCTCTTCACGACATCAGTTGCTTCAATTCAGTACAAAAGCGGCAACGTGCCTTATTGCGAGTGACACGCTAGGAGATGGAAGCAGCACCAGCTCAGCCAATATATTACGCTGGTACTCACTGCCAAGAGTCAGAGGTGAGCCGCAGTGCACCGAACCAAGCAGTTAGTTTTTTGGGTAACCCGCTGTAGCCGAAAGGCCACAAAGCGCTGCTATAGCGCCACCGAAGATAACTGTCCCCCTTAGCCGTGGTCTTGCACAGTCGTCTCTTCTCGCTGTTGTGTGCTGAGGTCGGGACGGAACAGTAAACGGACAAACCCGTCTGCTGCGGACGTAGCCAGCAGTCCTCTGCTATACCTGAATATCGCAAGAACAGGCCGTAAGCAATAACTGCAGCAGCAGTGACACCCACCGCAAGAGCTGTATTTGAGACGGAAGCAGCGGCAGCTCTATTTACCTCTTCAGTAGCGGCGCACAACGCAAGAGCGCCGCTGGCACACAGGCAGGGGCTCCAATGCAAGTGACAACGACGGAGCGAACACCACAGAGTCGCAACACAAGGCACAAGGGCAGCAGCGAGAATAACACTGTGCAGCTGCCTACCAAAGGCGATGTAGGATGGGTTTTTGAAGGCTCCTATCCGTTGCCGCAACCTGCACATATATCAGCATTAGCAAGTCCTCTGCGAAAGCAGCTGCTATTACAGCAGAGAAGTCAGGAATTACAAGAGGGGGAGAAGCAAGGGTATCACGAGTATTCACCTGCACCCAGCGAAGGGGCAACAGCATGAATCCATCCTCCTCCAAGCTCCATGATAGCAAACAGCAACGGCTGCTCGAGGACGGTAGCAGCACAATCAGTCGAGAACCCCAGTCAACAACTGCGTCAGCCAGCGTGTACGCATAATCCTGCTGATGCTGTTGCCGTTGCTGCTGCTTTTGCAGCGGCTCCATCAAGATGTCGGGAAGGCAGAAAATGGAAGAGAGGGATAACCACATGTCACCGACACACCCTCCTTCCGCTGCCTGAAGTGCTTCTCCAGCGGATATTTGGAAGCCTCCTGCTGAAGCATGCTTTGGGCTTTCGGTCTGTCTGGTTGCAGCTGCCAGCTCTGATACAGCTGCCGCTGCAGTAGCGAGCTGGCACATCAATGTTTTTGACCCGCAAAGGAAAGAAGGGCAGACGATTGCGTCCCCTCTCCTCTTCTCGTGAAGCCGCTGCTGCTGCTCCAGCTGGTCTACTGCTGCCGCCATTGCTGTCATTCTAACTTCATCGGCTCCAGAGGAAGACAGCGACGGTACTCCGTTATTCTGATGTTCCTGCGGTAAAGCAGAGGATGGCCGTTGAGGGTAGGGGCGCTGCTGCAGTTTTCGCCCGCTGCAAGTGCGCCACTGTTGCTGCCAAAAAATGACATGTGTTGTAGTAACCGCAAGATAACACATGTATTCTTGTTGCCTCTGCAACTTTTTCGATTGGACAGGAAGGTTCCCCAGCGCGACGGCAAGCGTTCGAGAGCTAGCTCCCCACAGCGCCCCCACGCATGTACCTGTCTGCTGCTGGTAAACTAGCAGCGGGAAAGAAGGAGCAGCATCAGAAGTCTTGGTTGCTGTTGGGACTGATGCAGTTCCGCCTGTTACGCGTACACTGGCCAAGCCACCTGCGACCGAATTATCACTGCAACACGTGCTCCAATTCTCAGCAGCAGCAGCAACTACTGGAGGAGGTGCTCTCAGGTAGGCAGCCTGTGCCGAGCTTCGCCAGCGTCTTTGCAGTGTACTACTATTCCCACTATTCCGGCTGTGATTGTTGCTGTCCAGTTGTGTGCTCTTCCAAGCCTCCGGGTGCACAGCTACAACCACAAGTCGCTCTGCTGCTGCGGCGTAGAGGCAGCAAACTGGAAGCTGCGTCTGGCATTCGTGCAGCAAACAGCGTATACCACTGCTGCTGTCACTGTCTTTACTTCGTTGGAGCTGCGGCATGTCAGTCCCTCCGCGCCACTTGCGAGCGGCAAGCTCTCGGCAATAATCCAGCTGCAACTGCTGCAGTGCCGCCACGTCTGCTGAGTGCAGGGAAAACTGGTGTTGCTTTTGTTGCTCCTGCTCCTGCAGGAAATTTAGGATGGATGCTGGGGGCTGATAGACTGCAGCACGACGGCAGTTCTCAAGAAAGAAAGCAACTGTGAGGCCTCCTCCGAGTCCAGCGAGCACAGCGTTATTACCCACAAGCAACACACACGTGGGCGTCTGCTGAAGCTGAATTTCCACGCCTTCCTGAGGAGTCCCAGCTGGTGCTTTGCCTAGAGCTGGTCTCGTTGCCTCTCGACTTTCTAGTTCTCGCGTTTCTGCCACTGATCTAGCGGAGCATCCGTTATGTAGAGTCCGTTGCCGCGATGAACCAGCAACTGCACCTCCACCTGTAGCAGTAGAAACAGCAGCGGCCGTTGAATCTAGTGTTACAAGCAGCTGCAGTGTTTTCCCCGAGTAAACTCGAAGGTTCCCATCTACGCATCCAACCACTAAGAGCGGTCCCTTGGATGTCCTTGAGGCAAAGCAGCAACAGCAAGCTGCTGCAGGCAGCGGTTTGATGCTGCTGCACACGCCTGTAAGCACACTGCAGCGGAGCAACAATCTGCTGCTGCAAACCACTATGCCTCCAGATCCTGGTAGCATCGATTTTCTCCTCGATCTTGGGTCTCCCCATTCTCGAGGGACCCAGTGCTGCAGTATTCTACCTAACACGGCCCGCGCGAGTGCAGCGGCTGTAGCCGCTGCTGAAGACACCGGAGAAGCGGCAGCAAATGCTGCTTCGGCTGCTTCTTCCTCATCTATAAAAACCCCTATCAGCTGAGGCCTTGCATATACTGGCAAATCCATAAAGGGGGAAAAGCGGCGGACGCAGCCCAGGCCCTTAAAGATAGTTTCCGTGGGCACGCAGCCTTCTAGTGAGCCCCCTGCTGGGGAGCTCCTCGTCGAATTTTCATCGCACAAATGCCTCATTTGCTTCGCAACTGTAAAAGCAGAGGCTAAAGGACAACATCTGCGCCTGCATAGTGAGGCGGACAAGAGAAAGTGGCCCTTGTACAACTGTCCATTGCCCTCGTGTGATTGCTGCTGCTGCTGTTGCTAGAGCTACAGCAAGAATGACTTTAACCCAGACGTGGTCAGCATGCAGAGCTTACGTTACACCACATCTATCGCTTTGATCCTTTTTGAGTTTCTGTTAGGGCCGACGTTATTGCTTTGACGCGTAGCGGCTCTGACGGGAAGTGCAGTGAATGCTGTGCGAGAACTCCTTCAGCCGCCTGCTCCTTCGGCAGGGATATTGCGGTATTCTCGTAACAGGTTGTTATTGTTTGTGTGTGGTTGCCGAGGCGCCACAATAACGAACGATCGCGTTACTCCTAATCAAATACACAGGGATCCGCTGCAGCTCCTGCAGCAGGTACCAAGTTTCTGAGGCTGCTGGATTTCTCACTTTACAAAGAAAACATATTCTCGATGAAATTTTAGGATAGCACTGCTGCTAAGGTCGCTGCTGCAACTAGCGGTACACGTTCTTCGCAGGCTCAGGAATGGGGCCCCTCAAGTTGACCCAAGGGGGCCCCGCAAGAAAAGCTTGCAGCACCAACAACAGGCCAACCAGATCTATTAAAAATATAAAAAAGCTTTCGACGCTATGAATTGCTGGGGAGAGCTACAGGGCAATTTGTTGAGCCGCAGCAGCAGGGGTGCTTCTGTAGATACTGGTGCGGCGACTTCGGCCTTTCCACCACAAAAATGCAATAACCGCCAACAAACACTTTGAAACCTGCCCTAGAGGAGAGAATGGCAGCAAAAAGAGGCCAGTAGGAGTCGTAGCAAATGCTGCTGCCCCAGTGCGTGCCGCCAGTGTTTACTTCAACGAAACAACCCCAGCTCAGAAAGTCTTTGGGACGTCTTTGGAGAGAGGAGGGACAGGAACCTGTACTGGTGCAGAGGCGAGGGTTACTGCAGGTGTGGTTGAATTTTAGTGGCCCTTGGCCCCCGCAGATGATGAGGAGAGGCATTGGAAACTCTACACTCCTGCGCACTGACTACAACCCCATCTTGTGAATCGAAATTTAAATAGGGAAGTCATCTGGTTAATGCAACCGACGCATCAGGAATCTCAGAATATGGGTTTGGTGGCCTATTGTGACACCCTGAAGCGCACCTTGAATCTGCCACGAGTATAGCTGCTGGAAATTTCGATTCAATAGCAAAAAAGTTAACGCTTTTTGCCGAATAGCTCTTCCGTAATAAAAACGATGAAGCTATTTTATTGAAAAATTGAGGAGACGTTAAAGTCCGCTTTACACACTGCAGCGGAGAGTCACTTACCAGCAGGTACAGTAGTGAGGCTGAAGGTCTTTTAAAAGAACCAGAAATTGAAGCACATTGTTTTCCTGTTAATTTTGTGAGCTCATTTCCCCCATTTGTTCTGTGTGAGGGCCCCATAGTCAAGTAAAGATACTCAGCAACAAGTAGGTGACGCGCGCCCTGCCAGCTGACAAGTTTCCAAGCTTGCAGTATTCTGGAAGCCACGAAATAAAAATCTTTTTGGGGGCCCAAGAATAGTGAATAGGTATAGCAGCTAAGTCTAATTATCTCCAACAAGAGGCTAGCTGCAAAGGCGTGGCAACCCCTTCAGTTACAGAGGTATAGGCCTAATGTCTATTGACCAGCGATCGATTTATGCAAAGCTTTCAGAGAACTACAGCCCAAGCATGAAAAGACAGCGGTACGCCACAGCTGCGGGGGTATCGGATGGGAACACTGCGTGAGCGTGACATTTACTACCAAACACGTGTTATCCCGATGCAAAACTGAGAAGTGTACTCGGTTTTCCTGGGTTAAAGATTAGATATCCCAGTCACGACGGAAGCACAGGCAGTATTCAAGAACCGATGCACGCCCTTTCGGCCCTCCAGTTGAGTGGGAACTGCCTCCCTACCTTGCCAAATTCTAGCTTATTTCCATTTTCCAGCTTCTCAATCCGGCATTTAAAAACTAGATATCTCCGTAGACGAGAACGCGCTATTTTTTGCGTAGTTCATGGGGCATATGAATCCTGATAGCCTGTTGTTGCCCTCAGGCGTGTGACACTGTGAATTGTTATATGTACACCCCATCCACCAGTCAGCTGCAAAGAAGCTCAACAGAGAAAAAAACTTTATTTGACCCAATGACCATTAGTATCATGTACAAGACGGCATCCAAGAAAGTATAGATTGAGGCCTCGAGAATAATAATCCGTACAGAGAGCTAGATATTTCTACGGCGGTGAAAAGCAAGCAAGAAACTCCAGGCACTGGCGTTTTTGGGAGATACGCATTAATTTGCGGGTCTAGTGGCTGATCTGAATGCTGTAGTAGCATACAAGGTGCTCTACTCCCACTTCCTTTACTTTTTCTGGCCACAGCATTCCTGAGCGCAGAAGAGCTCTTAGACAGACTCTGAGAGTAAGCAAAGAAGAGCTATAAGAAAGTCAGAAAGAGATACGCCGCCAGGAAAAAGAATAAGAATCCACTCGCCAGAATGCTCAGGGATACTGGAGTTTAGACGAAAGATGACCCTATCCCTGTACGCCTTGTTCAGAAGTGTGAGGTGGAAGTGGGTCAGTTACTACTGCATATTGACTAACTGTAGACTCTGCTATCCAAACACGACAAAAATAAAAAAAAAAGAGTCTCAAGCTACTCTTCTTAGCTAAACTGGAGCTTCAGAAAGTAAGTTACGAAGAGCCGTGCCCGCAGTCCAGAGATAGTACTGCGAAAAAATTAAGAATTATTTATCATGCAGAACTTTTGCAAAAATGCCAAAAGGAATCCACAGCCCTTCCTATAGTGGACCTAGTTAAACTACCACTCAAATTTCCGCAAAACCAATACCTGTGGCCCGAAGGCCTTCTCGCATCGGGGGATCCATTTTGAAGTAACAGAGCATCTTTCAGGTGCACAGACAACCCTCTGTAGTCTGCTTCTCCACCTAGCTCACTTCTTTACGGAAAGAAGTCTTGCAAAAACCCACACAGCTCCGTGACGGACATAAGCAGGTACTCCTGCCGCTGCAGCAGCTACACGCAACCACAGTCAGCTATCCGTCGATCTAGAAAAGCCAAATGAGATTTCCCAAAAGAACAAATGGCGGTTGGCCTAATGCTGAAGTTTGTCCCAACCTCATGCATGCAGTCCCGCGCAATGCCATCCAACGTACCGTTGCTCCACGAGCATCTCCAGGAGGGTGCGTTCCCGTCTAATGACCGTTGCAGAAGAAATTATTCATACATCCTGACTTTGTGCAATGTTATTTCTTCTACATCGCATTCCGGGCTCACTATAGGTTCGCTCATGCTGGAGAGAGTTGGCGCGTCATCGTAGGACTGACGGAAAACTTTAAGCCTCACTGGCCATGGTGCTCCCTCTTTGCGCTCTTAGACAGAGGAGCGTGCAAGGGTTGAAGGGTCGTCGAAGCATACATGCCCTTTGGACACCGTCGCCGGAGCAACTCCACCCTACAGCATTGAATGCTGTGGCTTGGTCGTATTCGCAACAGCGACAAACATTAAATGAAGGTCCTTGCATCTGCACGGTACCATGCAACAGCTCCCACTGCCATGTGGCGGTTTCCCGTCGCCATTTTTCGGCGGCAGCAGCAGTAGCAGCAGTTGAAGCACCGGCTACAACAACCTACAAGTTCAAGTCCGCCGCGCACCGCGATATGGTGGTTCTCTCAACCCGTCTGCACCTTCAGGATTTGTTGTTGCAGCGATTTGGTCGCCTAAGAACGGCGGAGTGCTGTGTGCTGCGCAAAGCCACAGGCACTCCACGACTTCTACTGCTGTGGGCGGAGCTGCTGGTGGAGCAGGATCCAGCACGGCCGCCCGCAAGTGCTTACGTTGTCCCGCCAGAATTGTATCAGTTGCCCGAGGTCAAAGTAAGCCAGCCTCCATAGTGGCAGAAACGCAAGCAGCATCGATAACAGCAGCAGTAACCTGTGTGAAGACCATAGCACTGTAAGTCTTGGTATCTGCGGCAGTGTAAGAAATATTGCTGTGACATAGCTGCAGCTCCGTGGTTCGTTTGGTGGTCCAGGATCTTCTGCGCGAGGATGGGGAACTTCGTTGGCTCATGCAACGAATAGACCCGAAAGGAAAAGGGGGAATGTGTGACTCATCAAAGGACGGCGTGCCAGTCCCTCATTTTCCTTCTGTGCTGCAACAAGATGTGCCGCGGTTCCCTTACGAGCCGCAGCAGTTGGAGTTTCTGAGGGATACTTACGGTTTGCTTAAGTGGCCTTTCAAACCACTAAGAGGCGCAGCCGCTGCTGCTGTTGCTGCAGCTACTACCGGAAGTGGTCCGATCCAGCCAATCACCGAAGCTGAACCTACCGTCGAGGGAACAAGCGGAGCTGTTGCCGCAGCTGCTGCAGCAGTAGATCGAGGCGACGTGAAGCGTGCGAACAGCCAAGTGCTTACGCAGTGCAGCACCGATGCAATTTACGCCCCGGACGAGACGGAAACGGGAGCCTACGTTTGGCATTAAGCCAGCAGCGTGATGCCACCTTAGATGCCGTTGTTACTCCTTGAGAGGACTTGCACGCAACGTAGACTGGTCAAATAGTCGGGACCTAACTGCTCTTCCCCCACCTTCCCCCGGAAACCATCGCTTTTTTTCGTTTTTAAGTCATGAACTCTTCCCTATACAATGTTTTCTTGAGACCCATTTAATGTGTAGCCCTCTCTTATCAATGTCACGCTGATAGAAGTTCTCAGCGTTAAGTAGCAGGAGTGTTGTTCGTCGGAGCTGGCCACAGCGAAAGGCTGTCCGTAGCGTGTAGTACTCCTGTTCTAAGCCAACTTTCAACCCGACCCTCTGGCCCTTCCCTCCAGTCGTGGACAGTGACAAGCATTCTACTTCGCAGGTTGAAGCGTGCTGGTGCACAGTCAAATACAAGTCCACACACTGATCTATCCTACG